CAGCAGGAGTCCTTAGCAGTGTTACACTTGAGGTAAATAAGGCTTTTGTAATCTAAGCAGTAAATTTCAGATTTGCTAATATATATAGCAGACACTGAAAATTGTGGGCAATGAGAGGGTGCTATTGTCGAACTCCAGTTGTGGAGATGAGTATTGTTTTCTAGTTGCACCATGAAGACCTTTGACATCCACGTTGTTAGTTTGTTTGCTGTATGAAAGGACAATTGCAAAGGACAGTGGGGATTTCAGTGGGAGGTGCTGAATAAGAATATTGTAGCTTCCCAATAATGTGCTATGTGGAGATAATTTCTAGCCTTGTATTATTTTTAATTCAGAGCAGTGTTAGCAGGTAAATTGGTTTTGAGACTAAAAAACCCAAACCAACAACAACAACAGAAAAACTCAAACCAAACCACAAAGCCAAAAATAAGAGCCCTCTTTAATATAGAGTTCTATCTTACCCAGCCTAGAGACTTTATATGAGCAAGGAAGATTTAATAAGCCTAATGGATGTCTTCAAACAAATGGAGTAATGTTAGAGCCAGCTTGTTCACCCTGTGATGTGATAGATGTTATCCATACTGAGTCATGGATAACATGACTCTGTAAATACAAGTTACTCTGAGGAAGGCTTAAGAAGATGCTGGCTTAGTGAGTCCAAGGTTTTCAAAGCAAACTAGGGACTACTGATACCTATAAACCAGCACAACAGCTGTTGTACCTGAAAACCAGGTAAGAACAGCCACTTCTTAATAGTAAGCTTTATGCAGTAACTTTGGGTTTAATTTGCCTGGTTTTTCAGAACTCAGAAACTCTTCCAGCACAGGTCAGCTCTGATGACAGCAGCTGTCCCGACTGTTGTGCATCTTTGCTGAGCTCTTTCAGTCTTGCCTTAGGCTATAATGCCAAACTTTGAGGGCAGCTTTTTCAAGCCAAGATTTATTCTTCCACTGGACTGAATGGATTCTGCTTTAGTGCAAACCAGTAGCATGCTCAGTACACTGCTGCTTTTGTAGCATAAGACAGATTTGCCTGTTCTTGATCTCAGTAGGACTGCATCAATCTCTGCAGTAGGTTTCCCCCTTTTTAAATACAGCTTCAGTTAAACATGCCTGTACAGCAAAGTTTCTTTAAATTACTCAGTGCCTACTAATGCTGCTTCAGAGACAGATGCTGTATATGCCAGCTTGCATTCGGTGCTAGAAGGCTCGGATACCTTTGTCTCCTGGATCTCAGATTAGCAGGAAGAAATATTTAGGGCACCCAACCTCCCTATTTTAAAGAGTAGCCCTCACTGAAGATGTCACTTGTGCTGCCAGTGTTGGGAAGAAATTCCCACTTTTGCTAAGCTGGTCAGCACAGATAAAGGCCCCTCAGAAGGAAAGGCTGCTTCTCTTCTGGTTTTACTGCTTCATCCCCTGCTTTATGAGCATTAAAATCAAAATATTCTTACCTGAGAGTTGATACGACATCTCGCTGGCATTGATGATGGGGAGAGAAGAGAGAGGACAGGAGAAGCCAATAATAATGAGACAGCAGAATACCAGCTTATGCATTGTTGCTGTGTTGAATGTATTTCGTCTTTGCCTACCCCTGTACCTCCGAACTCCTGTCTCTTGCCTCTGCTCCCAGTTTCACCCGTTATATAGCCGCTCATGACCTCATAAATATCATCATGTTCTCTCCCCCCTTCAGAAAAAAAAATCCAATGAATTTATTGCCCATTGATTCTAAATGGAAACCACTTTGCATTGATGTAATTTTTCAAGGTAACAGATCATAGACAATAAATTTACTGTCTTATAGCTTGGGGTACAAAATGGATATTATATCAAACCAAGCACAGTAAAGTTTATAAATCTGGCATTAAAAAAAAAGTAACTTCCAGTTATAAATCATGAGTTAACAAAAGGGTCAGACGTTGGTTGAAATGACCAGGGCAATCAGACAGCTGATTTATGAGCCTTAGCAGCCTTGACGCAAAGCATCTGATATGAAATTCACTTTTTCTTCTTTCTGGGAGATGGATGGATGTGTTGTGTTGTATTTGGGGTTCTTGTGCCAGAAAAAGTACAAGAGAAGGGGAGTTAAAACATCTAGTTCATTTACAGAGGGAATGGAAGGGGAGTTTGATTTCTGAGCTCCCCCAGCCCCCCGGAGCATTTCACATCTATTTATTTGAGAAGACCTCATCCGATGTTGCCCTGGAGAATTGTCTTGGCAGAGAAAGTACAGCTTCCATCTGGAGACTTGCTATAAACTACTTTGGTTGATATTAAGCACAGGTCCCTCACTAGACAGGGAGACCCTTTTCCATTTTGCTTATCTTTTCCTTCCCCTGTTGGAATTAACTGCCTAATTCTCTGTGTGCTACCTAAGGGGTTTTTTTCCTTGTTCACCTTTGCTTTTATTTAATGCTGACACAGTAGTTGCAGTAGGTAATCTCAAACTTTAGTCTTCATTTCCCTCCACCTATCTTATTTTGTCTTCTCTACTTACAGTTCCCTTTTTTGTATCAAAGAGATAGGACTGACTGGACTGGTCCCTCATCTTCATTCTCTATGAAGCACCATGTCCAACTGTATAGAGCCTTGAAAGTAAGTTTATGACAATTTTCTTGCCTTCAGGTGGTGAGAAGATTATGGCTGTTCAGGTTCATAAGAAATTGGGATTAGGTAATTTTCTTTCCTACCTTTCTAATCAAATGTTTGTGCCTTTAAATGCTCTTCAGTGTACTGTAAATTCCAATTAACATTATGCTGAATTGTGTGATAATTTTAAGTTGCAGGAGGATCTGCTTCCTTTTTCCTTCATTGACATTTCCTGTTGAAGATTAATTTTTATATCACTGAATTTGTAATATATTGTCAGTGACTCCTAGGCCTAATTTCAGATTAACCACAACAGTCATCTAGAACAGGGGTATTTCTGCTGCAAGTCTAATTCAAAGAGAGCACACCCCATGCATGTGTGGTTAAGAGTTGCCCAGAAGAGCTGTGGACTCTGAATCAGAGTGGTTGAGGTCAGAAAGCACCTCTAGAAATCTTTTAGTCTAACCCCTGCTCAAAGCAGGGTCAGCCAGAGCAGTTTGTCCAGGAGTGTGTCCAGTCAGGTTTAACAGCTCCAAGGATGGAAGGAGACAGAACTTCAATACAAGGCTTTGACAAGGCCCTGGGCATCCCCAGGTAAGTTCGCTTGTTTTGCTGTGAGTGTAGAGGTGAGAGAGGACCTGCAGAGGTCCCTTTAACCTAAGCTTCTCTGTCATCCTGTGTGTACAGAGGTCTAGTATTGACTTGCAGAACACTTGCTGCAGGTGTCTGAACTACACATCCTGTTTCTTGCAACTCCTCTTTGCTGAAGTGAGTGGATATGACAAAATAATTTCACTACAGAAT